GGGGTTGTTTTTCTTTCTTTTTCTTCTTCTCTCGAAGAGCAAGCTTTCATGTTCAACCCACTTTAAATGCTGCCTGTCTTTAATTTAGGTTCAACCGCAGATTTCCTTTCCAGGGGTCTCCCCTTCTCTTGCCCTACCCTTCCACAGCACCCAGGCAGGGCGAAGCCGGGTGGTTTCACCAGCACATTACAGCTTTACCCAGCCCCGGGCTCAGCCAGCGAGAGCTAACGCCGTTCCAGGAGGACTTACCTGTCAGCCACACCATGGTTAAGCTCCAAAGCAGAGGAGAGGGCCAGGCACTCATTTTTCTCTGAGGAGCAGCACAGCTTGTCAAAAGGCAAGATCAACAGCTAATCTCCTAGGTCTCACTGTTTATTCTACTCCGTTTTTGTGCCCAGTGTTGTCACCTGACTCTGATCATGCGGCTCAAATCACACACCCCCCCCCAACAAAGGGGGATTTATATTCAGAGACTGACAGGTCTTAAGGAGAAGTTACCAGCTTTTCCAGGGTGTAGTGCAAACTAAAATATTGGGCCGAATCAAAATCTAACCCTCTTTCTGTGGTGAACAGAAATACATGCGAGAGAAGCCGTCCTGGAGGAAGCAAGGGGCTAAACGGGCAGCGTGGGCAAGTTGCGTGGAAAGCCTTGCGCCTGGCTGCTGGCCAGCCCCCGTGATCTCGTCAAAAAAAAAAGGATTTCATTTCTTGGCATCCAGGATTTCCTGAAAGGAGAAAAACAAGAAGAAAAATAACCCAAGAGCCCACGATTCAAAGCCACTCCCACTTTGACTGAGGCTAATTGTGGTGTAAACCAAAACTCATCCTCAGGGCAGTTCAGAGCGTTCCCGATTAGCCTTCCCAAGACGTCAGATTTGATGCATCCAGCTGTTGTGACCAGGATCAAGTTCATTGATCACCTGCCTGGATCAATTGGCAAGGAGGTGAGGTTGCATTCAGTTAGGTGCCATCCCCTTTTCCGTTCGCCAGTACAGATGCATGTTCTCTTTGCTGCTTATGCCCCAAGGCCAGGTCCTGCTGTTTGCACCAGCTTGCTCTCTCTCCTGGACTCCAGCCCCTCTTCCTTCGCTTTTAGATGTTTGCACATCGCTCACAGGGCAACCGCTCTGTCATGAGATCACAGCTATAGAGATTTTGCTGAAAAAGGCATTGCCTGCACAATCTGAAAATTGAGTACAAAGTGGTCACCCAGCTTGAAACATCGTGAACCAACAGTTCATAGACTTTAAGCCAAAACCCATAGCATCCCTCACTGCCACCCGGGTGGCCTCCATCTGGCATCACATGTAGCACCTTGAGAGCATTCATGCTGTGTGCGTGGCTGCTCACCCATGCTTCATGGTCGTTGCCCGTGCAGGCCGGAAGATCGTGCAAGGGAAGGTTTCTTAAGCGATCACTGTCTCACATGGTCCAGCACCACTTCACCCATGAGCTGTGCACAAAGATGTGTAGCCCCTTGCTAGGGGACGCAGGGCTCCCAGCCCTGGGACAGCCTGCCAGATGCTATGCCAACGCCTTTGCTAGCGCCTGAGCTTTTCAGCTCTGCTGAGAGTGCTCCTCGTCTTCACATCACCAAGAGTAAGACTGTTGATGCCCTCGCAGGACTAACATGCCTGGTGGGAGCTGCAGGAAGAGAGGGCAGCACTGCCCATTCCCTCTGGCTGCAGCTGATTTACAGCTCAGCTGTGTGAGCCTAGCCTGCACCTGCAGGCACTGCTTTGGGGACAGGGAGCTTCCCCCATCCAGCGGGTGGGAAACAGGCAAGTGCTTGAAGGTGTCCCCAGAAGGCTTTATGCAACAGGGCTGTGCTCTCGTTTGTCTTGCCCTCCGGGGACCCGCTCTTCAATATCCTGATTTAGCTGGCTCAAAGCTAGCTGGCTTCCTGCATCAAATACACCCTCAACCTGAATCACTTGCTCTTAGTAAGCAAAATACTAGATATGGAGATATATCCCCCAGGCCCAGCACTCAGCCCCAGCAAATTTGCAGCTCCATACTAGCAGCTCCTTGCAGAAACACTGCTTTTATACTCTGGGAAAGACAGTTTCAGAGGTCTGGCCTTTCCCTGCAGGTAGGTGAGCTTTCAGCAAGACGTTTCTCACCTCAGTTTTATGGGTTTTACAAGTTTCTGTGCTGCGTTTTTGATTCCTTTCCATCTCTGTCTTCATAAGCAACTCTCATCTGTTACATAGATCTGCATGTGGCTGTCCAGCTCTTCTCCTCTTGAAGAAAGGAAAGCTGCATGCTTGTCAGCTCAGCTGGTGGGATGAGGCCCTGCGCTGGTGGGCAACGTCTGCAGAAAAAGCATCACAGAATGAAGCAGCTCTTGGTAAGCAGCTCTTAGCACATGGTAAGTTATCGGTTATGATCAGATGAGGTCAGCATCTAAAAGTTGCCAGGGAATAAACACCTCTGTGTACAATAAAACACGCTATCAGCAACTATCCTGTAAAGTGAGGTTTATTCTAGTAGAGAAGAGTAGCTGATGACAGATCAGTACTCTTTATACCATGCGTTACACAGAGCCCCCCCATTTGTGAGGGATCTTCCCTCTCTATCTCCAAACCCCAGGGGCAAGTTACCTGTTGGTCAGCCCAATACTTGGGAGGGAAAGGGAAATTTAGTCTTAAACCCCTTTCCATGCCATTCAAAGAGTCCCTCTCAGATGAGCTATCTGAGCCCAGCTAGCAGGCAAGGCAGGCTGGTTTCTCTCAGTTGCTTTAAACAACGGGAGGGAAACTCTGATGCAGCTTCAGTGCCAAGAAGTACAAATAGGTTAACTTATAAACTTCTGGCCTACCCTAGCTCGTCTCTGTTAAGATTAATACTTTCGCTAGTGGTTTCACAGAATAAAAGTGTCACGGCTGATCAAAAGCGACATCCTAGGCCAGGACAGGGCTCTTCTCTCATCAGGTCCACTGTGCTTCTCCAGGCTGTGAGCCTCGCGTCCTCAAACCAGGCAGACACTGCTTCCCTACCCAGGGGGCTCAAACCTCTCCTGGCTCCTTCCAGGCCAGAGGCAGCAGCAGCGACGTTTTCTCCCAAGAGCGCAGCTTTCTGCATCAAACACGCCAGCAGTTTGTACCGACTTGCACACTTCGCGCAGCCTAATGAAGCAAGTCACAGAAGCGTTTCAGAAGGGTAGCAGTAAAGTGATAGCTACTGAGGCATTACAATGCTAAGGGCCACCCCAGGACTGTGCATCAATTGGCTGCAAATCACCAGGGAGGTAGACACTCAAGTGACCTGTTTGTTTACAAGGAAAGTGACTTACTAAACAAGAGAGCAGAGAATCTGAGCAGTCCCTCTCCAACACTGGCCTCCTCTGCAGTGTCAAGCATGAGCTGCCAGCATGAGTAATAGGGGCTGCAACCACCGCGGCCACCCTGGCTCTCGTTAACTGGGATGTGGGGGGTAAAAATCCCAGGTGAGGTCCCATCCACAGTGAGGATGGTTAAAGGGAGAGGAACTGCACGAGCTGAGAGCAGATGGACACACTGATCAGTATGAAAATGGTAACTGTCACTGGGGGAAGCTCTAAGGTCAAGAAGTCTATTAACTGCCAGCAGGAGAGAGCAGTAAATTAAAGGATCACTTTATTCTTGTGTTTGTAGTTAGGCTCTTCTCTTAATTATCCACCACTAACCACTTTCACTGCTAGGATCCTAGACTACACAGTCGCTTGCTCTGATGCCGTATGACTGTCATGGCTCCAGGCTGAGCAAGCTACCACAAAACCATGTTGGTTCCACTTTGCTGGGGGAAATTGTGGTCCTTGGTGTAACGCATCCAGCTACTTAAGAAGGTTACAGCTACAGTCCTTTGGGAGCCTATTCCTGATCTGCACCCTATCAATGGGCTACTACCAGAGTGGGGCCTGGGGGCAGGGGTGCCTGCAAAATGATCAGGTATGAAGTTAAGAGGGCCAACCGGCTTTGACAAGTGCTTTTTAATAAAAGAAAACTACATTTCTTCAAGCAAGGTAGCCTGCAAGCATATTGCAATGATACCACAACCTGGCTGTGTACAGAGGAGGTGCCAGCCAGAAGGTACCGTTTCTTTCTCTGCAGGGAGAAAAGCACTTAAACATGCCTGACAGCCATGGGAGGCATTATCCCCATTTTCTAGACCGGGAAGCAATTGGGAATCTAAAACATCTTTCAGATGCAAGGTCCTTTCAGAACCTAGGACACAAACTGACCCTCACAGAACAGCACAGGAATTCAGGGTGTAGGAACACAGGCCATTTAGTCAATAACCTGCAAGTCAGCAATGTAAATTCAACCAAGATCTTAAGTAACTATCCTCTGAAGCCTCTTTGGTAGCTTACCTGCAAAACGGTAATGAACATCAGCAGCAAATGAGCTTCCCAATCAGGAAAACCTTTGCTGTAGAAGTATGAGCAGACTCCTCGCCAGTTTGGATCTTGACCTCAATGAGCAGGAAGGCAGCCACTAGGAATTTGCTTCATTTCAGGGTGGGGAAATTCTGCCACACTGTCCTGCTCATAAACAATACTCAATCCAGTTTTGTGCCCCGAAAAGAGCCAAGACACTTCTACACAGGTAAGAACAAGCAAAAAGCAAGACAAAGCTGTCAAGACTCCCAAAAGAATGTACACAAGTTGTGACGTGTGTGTGTGTGTGGGGGGGGGTGTTCGGAATAGAGACACTGAAACCTGTGTCTGCCTGGACAGCCACATGATGGCACCACAGCTTTAGAGAGCAAGGACACATGACTATGCCTCAGGAAGGAAGGGGAAAAAAAAGCCACAAAAGAGAGACTTAACTGGAAAAAAAAATTGTAGCATTTTTTTCAAACTGCACAGCCTTCAGAGTTGTGCAAGTGGAAGAACGAAATCCACAGAAGGGAAACAAAGAATCTAAGAGTTATAAAAATCATCCCGCAACAAATACCTCAAAACTCTTCTTCTTAAAGACATATATCTTTTGGGCTTGGATTCAGAAAGGATTAAAACATAGAATAAAGACAGTCAGAAAAAGGTGTTGTCTGCAGCAGAGAGAGATGGTTTAATCAAACTAAAATGCATGACCGCATATGAACTGAGTCCAGCAGGTACTGCCCAAAATCTGCACAGAACATTTGATTCTTCAGTCAGTCCCGACTAGTTAAAAAGGGGTTCTTAACGTGACATGTAGGGTTTTGAAATGGAACAGTGTCAGTCTCTCAGCTGTAGTCAGTATTAAGGACGCAGGTCAAACCTGTCTGGTGCTCTAGGCAGAAAGGAAGAGTTAAACACACAGCTGGCTTGCAGTGGAATACATAGAATAAAAGCATAATAAACAGAAATCCCCAGAAAAAGGGAATAAGTATGTTTATCTGAAATGTTTTCCTACTAACCCACTGCGTGCAGCTCTCTAGGATCAGCCACCACTGAGACACCAGGAGCGTTACCAAGTTAGGAAGGTCACTGGCAGCTCTCCAATACATTCTCCCTATTCTGATAGGCCCTGTGGGGATACAAACCCCTGAACATGTAAGCTGAAGACTTCTGTTGCTCCAGTAGTAACTGCCAGGGCACGCCCACAACATGCCTCCTTCACAAAAAACAAGCTGGTATAAAGGGACAGGGCTTTCCCTTTCCCTCAGGGCTCCAGCTCTGCTGGATTCTTACCATAATTCAAAATATTAAAAGGACTCTGCAGAAGGGGAGATGCATTTGTCAATACACAGCTCAAAGAATCTCTTGTTACTGGTAAGGTGCCTTGCTTTTTCTGTCAAGTCGTTGCTCATCTGTATGTTCATGTTGGGGGTGGCTTTGAGCCACCCAAAAACAGCACAGAGAACTTACTGCTCTGGCAAGGCTTCTTATCCAGACTGCTCAATCATGATACATCACCTAAGCACGGCTACAACTCCAGCTATTGGTTCTCCAGGCCTCAGACTTGTGAATGCTGAAAGTATAGCTCTGGGTACCTCCAAGTGGGACCAAAAAAATTTAGTGTAAGGAAGATAAAGATCTCTGTCTCCAACTCTCCTACATGAAGGAATGGCCAGTCTAAAAAAATCATTTTTACTGAAAGATGAAAAGGGATTGAAGATGAGGGAGACTATGGACTTCAGTGACTGATCCATCAATTAGCGTCATTAAAACCAAACATACACGCCACAGAGTTTGAATCAACCACACTTAGACTAATGGCTAACGTTTTGCAGATGGATAAAAAACAACACACACACACACCCCTTGAAAAGCAAAGGGAATTCATATAATAGATTTGCTTGCTGAATGAACCTGCACCACAGAACCCTTCAAATTCTTGAGGTTGGGGGCACATCCCAAAGTGATATGGAGTATTAAGAGTTCCTGAAGGATTCCTCACAACGCTTTTCAAACACACTCAGTAGGCTAAGATACTAAGCTCTACAGATATAAAATTGTTTTGTGTTGTTCATGAAATCACCAGGAAGAAGCAAGCATGTATTTTAATACCAAATGCCATTTAGGGACCACACTCTGAGCACCAGATGACAGTATCTTCCAAGTTCCTCAGGAGAAGGTCTGGTACCATGCAAGTGCCTTGAAACAGTTTCTGAAAACAAAACTGCCTCATCTACTTTGAAACAATTATTTTGTCTGCTTCCTGCCTCATTTTCCTTCCCTGCTCTCAGGGGAGCCTGTATGGGTGCACCTGTTTGTACATGGGGTGGGGGAGAAGAATGAACTCTGAGACGTTTTAGATTCTACCTAATCGCATCAGGAATACCCTGTTCTAAAGCTGTCCTGTATCTGCCACTAGTTTATCTGAGTCTCAAAGAGGTCGATGTTTGGCCATCATCAGTCACGAGAACTGGTATTAGAATAGCATCTCAGAAGCTCCACTGCCTGAACCAGTTAAGCCTGTCTGAAACGTCCAGTGACACTGATAGATTGCTAGAAACAGATTGGTCTGATTCTTGCATAGGCCATTCTGAGAAGACAGGCAACCTGGCACATCTCAGATCATATAAAGCATAGTAGTGAGTCACTCACCCCCTGCCCGTGGCATGAGGAAGGAACTATTGGCCTGCATCCTGAACTGTTCACGTCTGACAGACTTCTGGGCGTCAACAAGTCTCTTTGACAGAGCAAATGCCCTATGAAACAACAAAACGTGCATTTCAACCTACCCTCAGTTTGTCACAAGTGTTCTAATCGAGCAGTTGACCTGGAACACGTTCTCTTCCAGGCTATGTGATAAGGTCAATCCTATTACTATGTCTGGCACCGTACCAGCATAGGCAAGTTTAACAGAGCTATGTCACAAGGCTGTACATTTAAAAAACCAACCAACCAACCAACACTTCCACAGCAGTATAATTGAAAGAAGAGGCCGTTGCTCAGAATGCAAAGAAAGGCTGCAACTCAGCCAAAGGAGGCATTGAAAGAATAGGGTTTATTCAGCTTTCATACTATGTGTGCCAACCATGGAAGCAGCACACAGGCATACCTTCCTTGTACCACCAGGTCTGGACTATGGTTTGAGCCCTAAAGCTTATGGACACCCACACCCTGTGGAAGCATACCACCCAGGGTTAATCAACTGTCAGTGAATCTGCCCAGCAAGCAACAGCAAGTACACCTCCTACTCAAAGCTCCTAAACAGCAGAACTGGCATAGGCCAACTTTAAAATACATTTACATGAAGCAGCAGAAGCATTGCAACATTCATTTAAAATAGGATACACATCATCATGCAACTTGTCCACTTGGTCTCAGGCTACTGGCTCTCATTGCTAAATCCATTGTAAACACAACTACTCTAGGTTCCTTAAAAAAGTATCAGTCCATTTCCTTAGAAAATCTAAATTTTTATTATACATACTGTATTACACTGAAAATACGTACCCAAAGATGGAGTATTTTGAATTTACAACTGTACAAAAAAAACAATTAATAGAAAACATATGGGCTATGCTATAGATGTAACATTTTACAAAATGACATTTCTTGTTAAAGGCACCAGATTCCCAGCGGGCTCTGGCTTAACATTTTTTAGTCTTTTTTTTTCCAGTCAGATCTTACTAGGAAAGTGTGGTTCACTCTTAAACTGTATAACGTCAAAGTCTCGAGCTTCTTTCATCTAGACAAGTGGTCTGCGCTTTGACACGACCTAGTGAGAGAAACTAGAAGTTTCACATGGAGATATCAATCAGCTACTGAAGGCCTCCTCCCCACCACATCCAGCATCCTATGGCATTTAACTGAAAGATTAAGTGGCAAAGCTACCAGTGAAAACCAAGTTAACCCACAAAATACTGGCCCAAAACTAGCCTAGACAGCTTTGTAAGGAGATAACTACAGAGCACTACAGTAGGAAAAAGTGTTCTGTCTAAAAGGAAGGAGGAATCTATGATCAGAACTCTTGCTCAGCATCCCCCCGGGCTCACCTTCTTTATTAAACTCATCTCACTTTCTCCGGTCCTCACAGCGTTCAGATCGAGCCTAAAGAAACCCAGCACTTTGCTGTGGGACAAGTTGTTCCAAGAAGCTTTGGTATGAACGTGTGTGTTCTTTCTCCTCCAAGCATAAAAAGTTAAGACAAGACAAGCCGCTTTCAGTGCTTCTTTCTCCAGTATTCCATACTCTAAAAGCAAGCTAATTCTTCATGTCTTGCCTAGACTTGCATATCAAATAGATGTCTCTTTACCAGCAAGGACAAGAGAAGCTGGGACATACTGCCTTGCTGAGGTCCAAAAATGCACTTAGGAAGCTTGGGCTTGCCGTTTCCTAAAACTTCATGGTTAGACAGAGGGAAGGGAAAAAGGATGCAAACAAAACTTGAATATTAAATTTCTGAACAACTTCTCTGGTCAGTCTGTTGATGCATCAGCAAATCATTCTAGAGTCAACTCTATTTTCCATTTAATTTTGCAGCATACATTGAGCTCCGTTGTGCAGAATCCAGCTAAGTGACTGAATATTTAAGACAAAAAATATCAAGCTCCACGGCCAGGTTTCATTTTGTATCCTACTATGCCATTACACTGGAATTCGAACGTTAGTGTTGCCCTTTCTGAATTGTCCGGCACTATCCCTACTCTCAGTCAGGCCACTGGTTCAATGATTTCATTGTCTGAACTGAAGAGCTCCATGTAGTTTTATTTCTTACCAGTATCATTATTTTAAACAATATTGAAAAGGCTTCCCTTTCTTTAGTCATCTTAAAAAACCTCTCTGACTACAAAGATCAAGTTGAAATAATGCTATGGTATTGAGGGTCATAAAGTCGCTTTTAAAAATAAATTATCTTTGGATTGTTAAATTGTTTCATTCTAATGACCATAACCTAACTGAATTAAAAATATACTATTTAAGATCTCAGTTTATTGCATGGGACTTCTTTAGACAAACAAGCCTGGAGACCAACTTTGTCACACAGCAAAAAAGAACAGGTAGCAGTATAGGTAGTAGTAGGTAGCTTCCCATGGGCTACCTCACTTAAATGACTCAACTGCATTCTAGAAGGACTTCTTGAAGGCTGGAGGGAGAACCACGTCCAACCCAACAGCACAGATCTGAAATGCAGACCTCTGTCCAACTAGTGGACCAAGTAAATTTAGCGAGTAGACCCCCATTAATCACAAGCAAGCCAAAGAGCCACTGCACAGCAACTCCTGATCTCTACCAAACTGCACCAAATCTTGAATCAACAGTTTGGAATGAGAGTACATGCCCCTCGAGTCAACCAATTCTCTAAAAGTTCTCTTCCTTAAAAATTAAATTTGGTACTTGCAGCTTATCTAGCAAGCAAGAACACGTAAGACAGAAGTATCATACATGTTTTACTTTACAGAAAACTGATCACAAAAAGCTGTTTAAAAATCTGAATGCAGACAAGAAAAGGAATGTCACTTTTCTTTAAACCTTTCTCTAAAAGATGAATACTTTCATATGCTATTGTTAGCCCTTACTGTGTAACATACTATATCAAATAAGGTATAACCATTGTGAAATGCATTTATAGTGAACTTACTCTAAAAACTAAAACCCACTAATCATCTTTGTTTGTCAGGCTGATTTTTAACTGTTTAAAGAAAAATTGCCACTGAAATCGCCCTGCTACATGAGTTAGAACAGTCTGTATATTTGCTCAAATAAAGTTAAGAAATCTATACTTTTGGTCACATCTTAAAATGCTGTAAAACACAGATTTCCTCATTATTTACGCTCTCCCTGTTCTGATGGATAATTAAGTTTGAAAAGCTAAAAACAAAAACGCAATAAAAAATCCCAAATACAAAAGACTAAACGATCATCTAAATGTCTTTGTTAGTATATAAGCATACTTATGGGATTTGGTCTGATTTCTTTTTAGGAAAAAAAAGAAACAACAAGAAGAAAATCCAGCCTCATACTGCCCTAAGAGTTCGACCAGCCTCTAGTCAGCCCAAAGTAACTCCTCTGTCCCAGACAACCATTATGCTACTCATCTTTGTGTTTCTTCCTTCTGAGCACTGTTCCCTAGCAAGTGCAAGTCCACACATAAGCACTGGCAGAAACTGAAGTTTTAATCCAAGTCTCCATTGAAGGATGAATCCAAGTCTCTAAAGGATGAATCTTGAACTATGTATGTAAGCCCTGTCAATAAATGCAAGCTATACTTGTACAACTAAAGCAGGATTATACCAGTGGTGTAAACACCGTTAAAGATAAAAAACGTGCTTCTACTGGAGGGGGACAATATAAGGCACATTTAGATGCCTGTATAATTGCAGCCACATTAGTGATTATACTGATATAACATAACTACACTGGTAAGAACCACAGCTACACTCATTCAAATTTCTTTTCAGATTAGGACTTGGTTATCAAGCACCTCACAACTGCTCAGCCAAACATACATTAACACCGCCTCAAGACAACAAATCTTTCCAACCATCTACATTCAGAGACATGTCATTCAGTCACTACTAGGGCCTTTTTTGTTTTTTTTTTTTTTTTTAAATAAGCTGCAATTGGTCTTGAGATGTACAAGTTTCATATCTTCTCACGTAAGCTATGTTGTTTAAAGGGCTTGCTATGCAAGAGCCATATATCAACTTCTGCCCTAAGACTCATAGGGCAAAGAGCTATCACCTCCTGATATAAGCCGCTGCTTGCTTGCTTTCTTCCGGCCATTTAAAATTTGGTATTTTTTTCTTCAGAAAATTATGATACTCAGTTTCTCTTTATCTAGATAAATTGTTATGCCAAATATAGGTTAATTCATGCTGGGCATGGACATTCACAATATAGCAAGGTTAACAAAGCTGCTCAATCCCATCCTATGGCCCAAGCATAAATAAGCTAAACATACAGTGGGTACCATTAGACACTAGACATCTACCACCTGCAATATTTAGTCTCACTGCAGCTGAATTACAAAATAATCAAGCACCAAGCTATGGTGCTTTAAGTGTCCATTCCGAAAATAGAACCCACATAGCCAAAGAAAACATTTTTACAATAAAGATCTGTGCCCTTGTTTAATGGTAAACTGTCAAAGGATTGCGCCAGCAGTCTTTTCCTCAGGTACTCGGAAGTAAACTGCTCCCATCTGTAATCTTTCAGTTGTGATCTCCATTTCTGGCATCTTGAACTGCAGGAAAACAAAACACAGCAACAAAACCCCCCTAAGATTACCTCTCCCTTTTCCCTCTTCCCCGATTTAAAAGGAAAAAAAAAAAAGTGTGAATTTGACACCTTCTTCTGTGTTCACTGAGCCCATTTAGGTTGAAGAGCCGCGACTTCTACTCTGGAGGGTAATAAGAAACGTACACGTGAATGCCATTTTGTACAGTTGACATACTCTACGAGCTCGTTGACTCTAAGCTTGATTTGGTCCAGTCTGCTGTTGCTGCATCTCTTAAGAAACATTAGTTATAGGTTTGTACTTCTTGAATCTGGTCCATTCACCAGTAGCATAGTTCATTTCAAAGACCGTATCAACCAACATAGTGGTGCTGCCAGTGCCATCTGCCTTTGGTAAATCTTCTGTGTGCTCACTAAGTTTAATTTGAATGATGTCACCTTGCTCTTGGCAAGGGTTCTCTGCAAAAATAAGAATAAAAATGAGTTAAACACATTGCAGCACTATGTATGAGAACAGGTAAAAAGCACTTAATGGAGATTCAATGCCTTATACTGGGGTGAGGGGGACGACACAGAAATCTGATAGCAAGTATACGCCACTAACACATGTGGCTGCACAAAGATGTTCTTGCTTCCATGCCTCACTGAAGGAGTTTTAGGTTTAATAAAGAAAACTAACTCCAAAAAGCTGAACCACAAGGCTGAAATAACTGGAAGAACAACAACATGGGGAGCAACCATGCCAATGTCATTTCTATCTGCCTTGGAAACTGTAAGAGAAGCTTTTATGGAATTTATTTTAATTTTATGGAATTTTATAATTTTATAATTTTATGGAATTTTTAACCAAAAGTTATTGTATTTGGAACATGTATCATAGTTAAAAGCCTCGACAATTTTCAGTGGTTCTGGAAACCCAAACACAGCTTCACTGAAACCCACTCCTCCAGAAAACTTGGTTCCACTCCAGCAGGAGTATTGACTGCTACATTTTAAGCTAACAGGGAAGCTCAGGTATATCAAAGTTGGCAGTCAATTACCCACTTTTCAGAAGATGTCAACGTTATTAGTGTAGGAACATATATGTGCATGTATAAAAAACAAAATACACACACACACATATTTTAAAATAATATTTTACCTTGCATTACAAAAAGACATCCATGTAGATATTCAAGTACCTCTTTTGCACTAAACACTAAAAAAAGTTTAGTGTACTTTTTTTTTTAAAAGCACAGGAGCCATCGCAGTAACTTTACCTTGGCCATCTTGAATTATTTACTTTATTGATCCAAATGCATGGGCCACACTTAGGTTCCAGCACTCCAGTGACAGAGCCCTCAAATACCAAATTAGAAGCCAGAGCTGGTACAGATGAGAGTTCACTTAAGGACTCCTGTGCCCATTCTCCTCGTACATCCAATACTCTTCTGGGTAAAATGCCTTTGGTCTATCAAGGCCAATAGACAACAAGATCTAGCTAAGTGACAGCTTATCTCCCTGTGATTCACAGCACCTATAGTTATCCATGGTCTCTGAAACAACAGTTGCTGCATTTCTAATGCTAAGGAATTAGTGAAGAAGCTCTGTACTATGAACCTTGCACCTCCGTTTGCCCTGAAAGAATCTGCACTCACTGGTCTTCTAGATAGACTACCAGAACCCAACCGGTCTGTTCACTCCTCTGACTGGCTGCCTTGTTTCTCCTCAGCCCCTTATCAATGGTACTACGTGTGTCCGGTTACACATATACTTTGTGCACAGTAGCTCCTTTGATTGTGTTCGACTTTTACTGGAAACAGGCCCTAAAGACTCCCAGTAGTTACAGCTTTAAAATGTAAGACTAAGTACAGTCCAGAGTACTGCTAAAGCAAGAGACTTCCATTCACATATACACACATAGAAGTGCTAGAAGATATTTCAGATTTAGGTATTCAAAAGCAAACTAATTTAGTTTCAATACATGCCTCTGGATCCTGCCATGAATCCAAGTATAAGAGCCTTTTCTGGCCTCGTAACTTTGTTTGCAGTCTTGAACATTTCCTGCGCAGCATACATTTGCTCCCTCTGCAACAGATAACAAATATGAACTCCTCCACTGGAGGAAACACTGCCAACATGTACTGATTAATACTCAGAGACGGGCATATAGGTCTACAAACTTTCTCTTTTTTCTTGATACAGAAAAAAGAAAACAAATCAAAAACCTTAACCTCAAGGCTTTCCCTCTTTAACGCATACCCCTGCCCCTAACTTACAGCACGGGCAATTAAATTCTGAAATTCAGACAGACGTTTAAACAAACGAAACAAACCCCACACACCATTTGAATAGACGTAATGTTTCTACCACTTTTTTGTTCTTTGTGATATTAGCGGAAAACACAAACAAACACACACCCCCACGCACACAATGCTTCCTGTTGCAACCCAGAGTTGCACTAATTTATAAGGGAGATTTTTTTGATAAATGAAGCAGAGCTACTAAAATGTAGCAGAGCTACTAAAAGAGAGTCCCATAGCTTCTTAAGGTTCAGATACTGCAAGCCAGGCTCACAGATGAGCTTAATAAAGTATCTGAATCAGCTTTATCTTTAATTAATTACCTGCTTAATTTCAAGCAGGCACATATATACAAACATACCAGCAATAAAAAGCTTCAGGACATTAGGAATTACAGTTCAGTGTTTAGTCTCCTTCTCACCCCCAGGCTTTAAAACTTGGGAAAGAAAAAGGAGGAGGAGAAAGAAAAGGAAAAAAAAAAAGCTTCCACCTTCAGTTAATCTATTGATACCTTCTCTCCTACCACTGTAATGACAGGATCATTTTTAGCAGCTTAGATCATATACAATTAGCTGGGCAACAGCTCTGGTGGAAACATGCCTTTCTCCCATTCCATTCACCTACTAGGTAATCTTAGGAAATACAGTGAAGTTATTTGTACTGAGGAACGCAACATTTTATGTAACAAAGCAGCAGTAAATAAAGACAACTTATTGTAACATTAACAACGCGTAACTAAAAATGTTGTGATTAACATTTATAAGACACTAATGCTAACAAAGCTGCAAAGCATTTTAATTATCTTTCGTTATAAATAAGCAGCCTCAATCTCCACTATCTAAACGCCAGGAATTGCCAAGACACCGAATAAGATAAATAATAAAAAGTCGTGTTTTCATATCTACATCAAAAGCAGCATTTGTTTTTGGAAGTCAAAAAGAACCTATTTTTACTTACCGTGAGAGAGAGGCTTTTTTTCGGTGGTGGCTGTTGCTGAGTTTGGGGAGCCACTTGCGGTGCTTGTGCTGCAGGGGAAATGGCAGGAGGTGTGGTAGGCGTTAGGGGTGAGGTAGGCGTAGCTGCAGGTGGATTAGAGTTACTATTGTACATGGGTGTTCTTTGCTTGAACTGTGCAGGAAGAGTTGTTGTAGCATTTGGAGCTGCAGGCTCTTCAGTCTGTCTGTTAGTCTGCAAGGCCTCTCGTGCTGAGCCAGCTGCAAAAACCAATCAGGATAATTAAAAACATTATTTCCACAGACAGGGATCTGTATTACCAATGGCCTTCAAGAAGATCTAGAAATTCCAGCGCTTTCATTTTAGTAGCATGATTCAATATGCCATCTAATAGCTATGTGAAAACGTTCAGAGCCAAATGCTTTTTCCCTTCAACTATCTTTACCAATTATTGTCAATTAAGTGACTAATTGTCCAATATATATTATACTGTACGCTATAACAGCAAACATTAATCACCCAATGCACACTCTAGGCAGTTACATTCTTTTGTGCCTCTTACACACAGGTACAGTCACTTAAAAGCACCGTTCACAAATCTCATGACGCTTGAGCTAACCAACTCCACTTTATGCTCACAGTAGACTAAAAGGTGGATACAGACTAGAGCTCAGCAGATGCCTTTTAGATCAAGCTTTAAAGAATTTGGGGTCGGGGGGAGTTCTATCACTCTCCACGATGTAGGCACAGACATAACACTGGTTTTAACAATACAGCTCTTATCTAGTAAGATGTGAAGTGCAATACGGAGCACTTGAAGATAAACATTCGTAACAATTAGCTATCTCTTTTGTATGAATCTACCTATGATAAAAAGAAAGCGTACAATAAGTAACTTAAAATATCTCCCGTTAACTTCTACTAAATCATCTTCTAAATCCATCTGCTAGATGGATTGTTTAGTTTTATATCCCAACAGTTTATTTCAAACACAGGAGACACACACAGACTGGCCTGCCTTTTTAAGGTGAAACTCCAAAACCCAGTTCTGATAGTTGTCCACGTTTTTAAAACACTGCAGGATTATTCTCAAGTTTTACTGCAGTCCTGATTTGAAAAAAAAATGAGTGCACTACTTTGAAGCTTTGCTCACAAAATACAAAATCAAATCACTACAGACTTACAGATCTGAGCCATGTGATAATGCAATAGTGCAGTATGCTTTAAATATATGTTTTAAATAAAGCAGGAGCTACCATATCCTTAGGAAAACACAACTAATGACTTTAAACACACAGAACAGAGCATTACAGAAAGCACTCTGTAACCCAGTAACTCTGTAACCATACTCGAAATGAAGAAAGTGACTGTATATGGGAATCAGTATTTCTAAGTCTTATTACCGGCTTCCTCTCCTCTCACAATAAGTGACTTGCATAAAGTAACAAATGTCTTAATTATGCCACTTCAGATGACAGGAAACCAAACCTCTGGATTTTCTTTGCATGTCTTGCATCAAGAAAACAGCTTTATATTCCTTGTCCATGAGGAGAGCAAGATAGCCCACACTCCAGAAGGAAAAATTAAGTTAGAAAAATTAAAGATAGAATTTTAAACTAGGCTTTTTCTGCTGTCAAATACAATGCCAATGCTCTGGAAAATAATACTAGCTGCTGACAACACTGATGTGCTCTTGGCTGTGCTCTTTCTGGAGCTGTCAATTTTCTGCCCAAGGATGTGCAAGGACCTTCAGAGAGGTTTGGAACTTTGTTTCAGAGCCAAGCTAGCAATCAGTTTTTGCATATGCCTCTTTTCTATGGAGACCAACTTGCCACATCTCAGGCTCGCAAAGACAAACGTTGTTACAACCAAATCCCATACCAAACCTTGTTACATACCAAATCTCAACAAGCAAGAGTAAAAATAATGAATTAAATTGCAACATCGATTCTGTTCACTACCAGCTTTGGTAACGAACCCCAGTCAGGTATGTCTGCTGGAGCAAACTGTTAGGTTCCTTTAAGACTTTACATGCAACAGGGAAAGAAAAAAGTAAAAGTAAATGTGTTAAATAAAAAGGTGCAGAAATAAAGGATTTGCATTAACGCTCTTTATTTTACTCTTGGAAAATATTCTAGCATTGAAAGTGTAGCACCTTTCAAAATAGGCAGGCAGTCAGCCAGCTATTATCTGCTGGACCTTTATAAAAAGGTAAAAAGAAAATGCAAAAGGATGAAGGGAGTGTCTGATCCCAGCCTGAGTGAAATTTAGTAGGTACCTGACCGTAGAAATGTATCTGACACTTGAAAGCAACCATCTGGTTTGCAAGTGCATGCATACGGATGTGTGTATATGAAATGTATATTCTATACCTATGTATATTACTGGTGTTTCTTGGGGGATGAAAAGAAAGCAGGATTTCCTCTAGTAGAGCAAGAAAAAACAAACAGAAAGGAGCTTTGCTCACTTGACTTAACTAACAGTCATTTTAAGACCTAAAAAGAACAAGCCTTTTCTTTATTTAGACTAAATGACAGGTCTGGATACCCAAAAACAAAGAGCTTGGTTTCCTCACAATTTTTTTAGTCTGTTATGGTCAGTTTGATTAGAATCAAGAGACAGTATGTTTGTAAATAAGAGCAGAGCTAGACAGTAAAGCTGTATAGACTCAGAGGTACTGAGCCCCAATAGCACAAAAGACTCTTTACCTGGCTGTGTTTCAGAGCTTGGGATATATGAGGAAGATGGCACCACACTGGGGGTAGCAGGTAAATAACTTGTAGAAGGCAGTGCAGGTTCATTGTTCAAAGAGCCAAGTTTCTGTAAAACAGGAAAGTGTTATAGCCATACTGCATAAACTCATACACTGTTTTGGCATTTCAAGTACAATTTCAACATTAGCTCTGCTAGGATGTTCCTTCTGGGACTTAATTATGGATGACTGCTAGGGCAGTTTGCTATTTCAAACTTAACTTACTATACAAACTTCAGATACCAGAATTAACCTAGGAGAAAAAAAGCAGCTTTTTTCCCCCTCTAATACAGATCAAAGTTGCTTCCAAAGCAACAAACTGAGCCAGGAAAAGGTACTAGTATAATGGAATATGTACTTCTACAGAGAATCAAGCTGCTGTGGTTGCAGCTGCTGAAATTTGCTTCCTACCCTGAACACTGCAACTTTCCTACATAGGTAAGCTTTAAGACTTTAAAAGGTCCCATGATGCTTAAGTTTTCTATAATCCTGGAAGGAGTCTCTGTGATATGTGGTACCAACAGATTATTCTCTACAGGCAGCACCTCTTTTAAATAGCGTTGCCTGTGTGAGCCATACCAGCAAACCAGGAGCCCTTGCAAACACCACAGTTCAGCCTGCAAAGTGTAGAGCGACCTCAGATTGCCCTCAATTCCTTTGCCCCATTTCTCAGCTAGTAGCACAGAGACGGGATCACGGAATTTTTGCGGATGGTACACTCTGAAGAATTACAGTTACTATAAGTGACCTTCTGCCTGAGTACGCATTGTGTTTTTCTCCTCTTTATGATTAGCAAGCAAAAACTTGTGTTCACGCATGGGCAGAAGTCCTACAAAAATATCACTTGAAAATATGGCCCAACAGAATGCGAAGGCCCCTGGGACATATGTAAGCAGCAGGCCTAATCAGCAGTAAAAGCACAGATAAACTCATCTCAACTCAAACTGGCAGTCAACACTGACCTAAGAGACAGATGTCATCTAGGCTCAACCCAAAGGAAATGCCACGTTTTATACATAGCAATTATGCATGATGATATCGCACAGACAGTGCAAACACAACAGCATTGTATTTTTATGGAAATCTCTGCCTTCAATCCAGCCTTACTAAACATAGGGGGATGGGAGAGGAGAAATTTGAGGGGAGTACGTCTAGCAGACAGAGATCATCTAAGGTAGCTTTACTGGACAGAAACACTGGGATGGATGTTCCTGTAAAATGTGTTTCAGATGGTGTCTGTCAAAAAGATATTTTCTTTTCCTGTCTTTCTGCAGAATGCTAAGGCCTACACTCCTGACACACGCATACCAGCATCTGCCCATATGATGTTTTTAGTATGTGTGCCGCAGGCTGCTACCCCCAAAACCATGAGACCAATGTTGCATGTGCTTACGATTAGGTTCTAGAAGTTTGCCAGCTGAGTCATAGAGAGCACGTGTAAACGGAGCGCTCTCTCCTGGCAAGCATCAATACGTGGACTTATAAAGGAGTAAAGAGTAATGGCAACTACTTTGAATTTTGGCCAAGTGGAGATACTGAAGATTTGAGACAGATTTCTGTCCTCCTGATAGGCATAGGAACAGTAAGCAGAGCAGCCTCAAATTATCTACTAGTACCTCAAGAACCTAGCTGTTCAAAGTAATTCCAGGCAAACACTTCCTGAATAAAAACAGGCAGTTTCCAAACTCAGAAAGAAGTCAGGATAGAACCTAATATATATATATTTTTTTTAAATAAGAAAAGGTCCTAACTGAGATATGGTTATAGAAAAGATGAACCTGCATCATGGTCTTTCCAATAGGTCTTATCCAAAAACACATACAAAAACCCACTGACTGAATTACGTCTAACAAGATAGCTTTTTCAGCAGATCAAGACAACTTTTAGAAAAAGATTGCTAAGAGAAGGAGCGGCCACCTCTGAACCTTATGGGCTTTATGAAGAACAAACTTATCACCTATGGGTATTTTGGACAGAGATCATTTCCACTGTGTTTCTCCTTCCCTTTCAGTGGTAGTGGGACTTGCTGAAGCTAGTTGTTAGACAGGTTCGGGGACCTCAGAAGACCCTGCCTTCTGAAATAAGCATCAGTTCCCCAATGAGGGGAAGATTGCAAGCTTTTAAACAAAGGAAAAAAAAAAAAAAAGAAAAAAAAAGACAGACAACCACAGAGAAAGATATTAGCACACAGGCTCTTTTCTTAAACCAGAAGATAGATGAATTCTAAAGATCTTTCTCACTTGGTTGCATATATACTCAGCTCTCTCTCCCAGGCACAGACAAGTGTTCTTCATCAAAACTTCTGTGGACACGGCTTCATTAGGGTTTCCCCTGCCAACACTGCCAATCTTGGATCAGGAATGTACTTCTGCAGTGACTGTCCTCAGTGCCTCCACTAGACTGCACTTGTTTGCATCACAGAATGGTCTTAAGCATGCAAACTAGAACTCTTCCAGTAGAAACTAAATGAGAAGTACTAACAGAGGACCAGATCGGAGAGATTCCAAAGTAAAAACTGTCAAAGGCATACAGTTTGGATGTTTGGTCTTCAGCATCAATTGTTTCACCCTGAGGGTCCATTGTAAAGCTGCACTACTGGCTAACTTGTGCTCCCCTGACATGGTTGAGAAGAAAGTCCATACCTATAGCCTTATGTGCTCCTAATCAGCTCAGTGATTCAGAGCAAAGTCTCTTTTATTTTCCCTCAGTTGTTTAACAGCGTAAGTTCAACAGCTACCTCTAAAACTGCAGACCTCTTCAGAGATGCTGCTGTCAGTATGTGCCATCCAGGTTTCATATTTAAGGCATCAGGGAGATCTACTATTTGAACAGCTGCAAATATAGCTTCCTCATCCAGCAAGCACTTCTCTATGAAGCATATCTTTCTCCTAGATGGTACTTGGATAAGACTCAGTGTTTAGTCCCTGAAGCTGGGACTTGGGAGTGGACACCTAGAGTCAGTAACAAGGCCTTTGCCTTGCAAGGGCTCTCCCTTTCCTTAGTGCTCCTCCATCACAATAACAACAGAGCAGCGCTAACAGCTGTACTTCTGAGCCTAGAACAACATAATGGTTTAACAGGGAGTGGTTTAACAGGGAGTGCCAAAAGGTATCTGCATACCCAGGAAACATGCTAGCCTTGGACCACCTGTCTGTGTGTACTTTAAGAAAGTTTTGGATGTAAACAAAAATATACACAAAGCTTAAGCATAAGGGGTTCTAATATTTGTTACCACGAAACACAATAACCATAAATGAGAAAGACTTAGCTTTTGCCTATTTTAGACCTTTACACAGGTGGAGAGAGGAAGAGAAAGAAAGAAGCAGATAGGGAAGAGAAGGAGAGAAGGTCATCAGGCTTCAAGGAATAACTTGTTTAAATATAAACTTGGATCTACACATTGAAAATAAAGCAAGCAAACACTTTTTCTAAACGTTACAAGATGGAAACGGATGTACTGTCTTGCAATCAGGATTACTAAGAAGATGTGGCCACCGTGACCCTTATGCCTCTAGCCACTCTGGTTAAAAAAAAGTTTCCAGGACCCACAGACAGTCCTAAAGACAGCAATAATATCAGAAATTGCAACACGGAAAGCAATTTCAGTCACATAAGAGAGGAACTCATGAAAATGACTACCTCTCTAGTTTCAGAGAATGTTCGTTCCTATCTTGCGTCTCTGATAAGAGAACCTTACCTTCATCTTGCATTGAACTTTTTATCTAGTTTGGTGAATATGTAAAAAATCATAATTATTCCAAAATTCCTTTTTAACATTTACATTAAGAGGCATGTTTCAAAAATTTAGAATAAAACATATCATTACAGTGTTTAGAATTAAGTATAATGTGGTTTCTCATCTCATGGTTTCCTACCTGTGTAGACACAAGGCCAGCAGCATAATCTGGAGTAGCATTTTCTACTACTGTTTCTTCTTTGGCTTGCTTTTCCACAACTTCTGTATCTATTGGATAAAAATAGAAGTCAATTTAAGGAAGTTTTCCTAATTATTGAATTAGATTTATTTTAAACAAAGATATAAACCCTACATATTTCAAAGTCTGCTAATATACTTAAATACAACTTGAAAGGTTAGCAAATGCACTGATTTTTCATATTCATATGTGTGTGTGTGTATATGTTAATATAATCAACCCAATGATGAAATGAACCACAAACTATATACGCTCATCAAGATACAACAACTAACTAATCGGGTAGTACTGGCTAATTTCATGATATTAGAAAGGATCCAAGAAAAATTAAGCAAAAAATATTTAATCGCAATTATGATTTTGTTCTGAGATGGCATTCATTTTTTGTTAAAAAGGTTGTTTTGGGATAAATATACTGCCTCATACAGCTTCCTGTTACACTTGAATAGAGCACCGTACTGTAACTTGACTTAATAGCAGTATAGAAGGTATTATTCACTTGCTAAGATCTCTCAGCCTAAATTTTGGGGAGAGCTATACATAATTTTTACAAGATGACTTTACATTCATTTACTTGGCTACTCAACCAGTAGAAATAAGCATACCAAAATATCTCTGAATAATTTTAGTACTGAAGCTATTCTCACACTTATCTTCGTTGTGCAAAGGGCAAATAGCTAGTTCAAACCTCTTATGCTGACAAGTCAACTTACTTCCAAGGCAAATGGCAAAACGATTAGCAACATTGAAGGGAGGTTAAAAAAAAAAAAAAAAGTAGAACTCCTTTTGTTCGTTGGTTTCTTTTGTTTTTTAAACTTAGCTGAAGATGGCAGTTTTAAATTTGAGAATTAAATGATGCTATAAACCTAGATCCAATCTGCAGGATACATCAACAGCCTTTATAAGTAGCATTCTATACCAACCTAATGTCTTTCTTCTTCTTTTAGCTTCACGGCCAGCACCTACCATGTCCAGCTCAGAGATATCTAGAAGCTACAAAGAGAGAGCGCAGAAATCTTAATAATCATTACTGAACTTAGACAGCAGTTGGTATCTAAATATTGTCCTTAATTTTTTCTTAATATATTGATACTCGATTCAAATAGCAGCATAAATTCATTTCGATCAGGGAGGAGAGCTGAGCTGAGCGAGAACACAAGAGATTAAGAAAGAGTTCACCTACCTTTACTCCTCTTTCTTTACGCAGAGGTGTTCGTGAAGGAGGAATAGGAGTTCTGTTTCCAGAAGGACTAAATACACTAGGTGCTGAAGTACTTCTGAATGGAGCTTGTTTTGGTATTCCTTTGAGTGGTGCTTAAGAAAGATCAAAAAAAGCATTAACTGAAATATATATTTACTTATTTACAAAGAACAACAATAAGGAGGTCTTAAGCTTTCCCGTTCTTTCTTCCTCCCTTCAACTTCATAAGTTTCCTTCCACAGAACTGTAAGAATATAATAAATGTTCTTCAAAAGCCAGATTGGGTTTTACCTTCAAATAAGGACTAAAACAACTGTCTAGGCTAATGTTTGCAACTCTAAAGGTTAAGTAATTTTTATTATATAGTTGTATACCTTGAATATACACATACACTTAAACTAAGTAATCAAGGCATGCACTCCTATCAAAATACACTTTTCCTACCAATGCTTTCCCTAAAATAATAAATAATTCAAAAAAAAAATCATAAAAAGGTATTAGACATGAACGTTTTGAATCTGATTACTGCCAAGGTTACTCTTCAAACTTTTAAGATCTGCAAATGCAGTAAAAACTGCATTTGTCAAAGATTTTGGGTACAGCTAGTTGCTATGTGTGCATCAGAGGCCTCAAGGTACCAAAGGCTGCAATGGGACTGAAAGGGGGAGAATAAATTCTGTTTGTGGATAACATGATGTCAAAGATAGTAGCATGGCAAAAGATTTGCAATGCACTGGTGGAGTACAAACTGTTCTAGTGCAAGGTTAAGTTTTTGCAGCATAACCAACCTCCCTACCTTTATGAACCACAAACCAAAATCTGCCTACAGCCAGATGGCAGTGCACACACCCCAGAGCTAAGACAGTAGGAGGGCTCTGGCAGCAGTTCATAGCAGAAGGTGACAGTGACCTCCTCACCAGGGGTGCCACCACGCTCTCGCAGTATGGGAAAGCTGGTGAACTGCCAGCCTCCAAAGTACCCAGGGTGGAAACTTTCTCATCTGCTGAGGTTCAGGAATTCTGAACGCTGCAGAGCTCCCACCCTGAGGTAGCTCAGCTACCGGTCAGACATGGGAGCTACACCTGAACAGTTCCGAAGTGGCAGGGGAGCCACTCCAGCTTATTCCAAAGTGTTCTGAATCACCACCCCTATTAAACATAGCATAAGTCTCATTAACATTTCATTTTCTGCTTCCCCTACAAAAATGACTCTACACTTTGAACCTCTGAACATAAAAGCATAAATCTTTACATCCAAGGCTTCCAAATCCCCCGCTCCCAGTCTTTTAAAATAAAAGGGAAGGAAAACCCAATGTCTTGAATTTGGGAGAAACGGAGATAGAGTTCTAAATTTGTTGGTGGGTGGGCTGCTGCCTCAGACAAAGATGATGATCCTATTTGGCTAGTGCTGTTATCTTGCAGCTGCAGGAATAAGAGTTCTTGTAACTCACTGGTAGGATAAATTACTGCCTCACAAAGGGGTTTGAAATTCTGGAGCTGTTTGCATGAGAAGGAGGATCCAAATTGTTTCTACACTGCAAACAGAAAAAAAGACACTTCTACTACTCAGTGGAAGCTTTTACGCCCATAAGAAGCAGTTTTCCTCCTGATCTCAGGCTGTCACCCTCTATTTCCCACTTCATGCAAACACTGCAAACAGCATTCTTTCACCAACTGCTAAAAAAAATTAGGAAGACAACTATATTTATCTGTCAGGCCTTTGAGTCTCCGGACAAGACCTTATCTTTACCCTGCAATTTGTAGAGTTACATTTAAGGTCAAATAAGATTCTTGTAGACCTTCAAATCTAGAAAACAAGGTTAGATATTCTGCATCCCTCTAAATATCATACTGAAAAAACCGTTTTCAGCCTTGGACAGGGCTGAAAGGTGTCTAAGCCTGACCAAGGTGTCTAAGCCTGAGATATTTACAGTGGTATAAACCACAACTGGTAATGTTTCTAGAGACCTCCTGGTTTCAAAGGACAAGTCCAAGGGCCAAGTCGTTTTCTACACGGGGACAATTTTTAATTCAAATTACAACTGCACCTTTCGCATTTCATGTGTGAACATGTGGCTAAAAACTTCAGTGCTTAAAACAATGCATTTCATATAGTATCTATACAAAATATTTCATAGCTTCTAGCCACCGCAGTAAATAATCACATCAAATTTTATATCTCAGCATCATTTTAGTGGTCAGAAAAGTTTCAGCTACGCAATGATTTAAAGTGTGTTATTAATTTGGAGCCCTTCTCTTGTTCCCAGTCACAACCTTACTTGAAAAAATTCAGGCAGTTCACGAACTTCAGTAAGCAGCTGAAATTAGTTTTTCAACTCAGTATCAACTTTTATACATCTCTGTCATGTCCATTAATAGAAACCACTAAAGAGCTTTTACAGCAATGGTCATACTGTCCCACTAAAATACTTTGTTACTTAACCTTCAGAAAGCAATTAAGATTATCACAATGATTGGCTGGCTCTTAACATGCTTGAAACTGTTTGATAAGAGATTTATTTCTCTGTACTCTTCCTATCTGTTACTTCTAAACTAGCCTCCTCTAAAGAGAGCACAAGTTATTCCACGTACTATATTTATCATAGCATTCTGCCCCCTCAGACCCTTTCTCTACACGGAAATTCTATGGATACACGACACTTTCAGTCTACTTCACAGTATTTAAAAGACCACAGGAAGTTACTGTGACCCACTCACTTTGTTCCCTCTTGGAGCAATATGTCTTAGTCAGGAGTTATTCCTGGAGTGATGAAAATTAACCTCTTACCAATGTCTGTAGGCATGGTCTAGCTGCATTTGTTTTAGCATGACAGATATACTTGCCAATTAAGAAAAATCTCTTGTTATTTTAGACGAGACATGTCAGAAACATTTAAATAACAACAGGGAGCGAGGGAAGCAGAAGGGGAGAAATCCTTTCCTTTGATGGGAATTTTTATAAAATCCACCTTTGCAATTTTACACTCTCTCTATGCTATTTTATCAGATTTACTTTCAGCGCAGTAATACAAATGAGTCATACTTGTTGTATCTATTTTTTTGACCAGTCCCCTCCCTTTGGCATGAAAAGGCACTCCTGCAGTCTTCTTGAGCTGCTGTGCAGTTTCTGTTGCTAAAAAGAGAAGGGCTTCAGTTATTACAAAATCTGCACTGGAAATTTACAATATATTGCTTCTTATGTTAAAAAAAATTATTAACTAATACAGAAAAACATGGGAATAACCACAAAATAAGAAATACATCTCAGCTTAAAAATAGGTCATTTAAGCTTGGTAAATGCAATATTTGGGGAAAACACAAAATCAGCATGACTACACAACTGACAGAATAGCCTGATTTAAAAAAAAAAAAGTAGACAATTTATTCAAGGGAAAAAAAGATTACAGAAACTTCATAAAATATAAAAAGCTAGAAGCATTATATTAACTACTCAAACCATAAGCAAGAAAGCAGCAAGCTGCTGCAATACAACGGTAGGCACAATGAAGTATTTTAAGATCACTAAGTTAATGCAGCCACCAATTTATACGAGCATATTATGTTTTGCCTTTGGTAGTGAAAACCCTCTTGGCTTTCACCCTCTATAGCCATACTGAGTAAAAGAAAGCATGAATTAGCAGTTCTTGCTCCCTGTTACAAAACCTATGGTAAAATAAAACTAGGTTCTCATTTCAGTTTTGTTGCAAGAGCTTTAACCAAAGCTTTCTCTCACAAGTCTTCACAACTGACTGTTGAACACTGACTGTGACATGAGAGAAACTATCCGTGCTTTAAAAAGATAGTTTTGTGTATGCCCTGAAATCTGGACAGCATTTAAATTATCAAGATGAGTATTATACACAGTCATAATTATGTTAAAAAGGGGGGGGGGGGGGAAATCGGTCAGCAAAACCCTTATACAGAAAATTATAATGTATATTCCTATATGCTGGAGAACACAGCTGCACATAAATTTTCCTTTTACAATCTAATCCGTTACTCAATCTTATGAACTAGCTATAATTCTACTTACACTTTTGCAAGAGTTCAGCTCGGAGAGTAGCACTTTTAGGTTTTCTTTTCAGCTGAAAGTGTTTCACTGGGGGAGTAAGCGGCCCAGCTAGTGTTGTCAAGGCATTTTTGTTTAAGTACTGGCATTCCAACGGCAACATAGCTGATGTTTCACATTCACTTACTGCATAAAGAGTTAACATAGTAGACATGGGTATAAGCACCTGATTATAAAACATTTTAAAACTAGACTGTATAGCTGTTTTAGAGTCTCTATTTAAACATCAAGAGAGTAATTTAATTTTAATTATTAGGATTGACTAAAATAAGGAAGAAATCAAAGTTTTTTTTTTCTTTTTCCTTAAACAAAAAGTTCCATGTTAATTACACCTAGTTGTATTATAGGAATCAAACACATTATTTTCATAGAGAAGTTAAAAGTGATGGAATTCTCAGATTCCATAAAAATTACACACAAAAATGAAACTATCAAATAAAAGTCTCAAGCCAAAAAAAAAAAAAAGGATCTTTTTTTCTGTTGTAAGAGAACAATATGCCTCACCTCTAAGTTGTTCTATTACTGGTCTACCGCAAACTAACTCCAAGACCATTTCTGTCCATTGACACCTCAGTATTTTCTAGGCAATTTGCTAAAATCAATTGCATTGCAGTAGGAGTGGTTTTTTGCATCATTATTTACTCTATTGTTTGAAGCAGCAACTGTGCAAGTGCCTGAGCCAATAGTTTCAACTCCTGGGCACTCCATAGTTAGTTGGACATCAGCAACAGAGCTCTTCTCATGTTCATTCTCCCCTCCCCGTCCCGCAGCTCCTTTCACTTGTCGGCCAGAGGAAGACTTCCAGCAAACAGAGAGGCAGCCATCCGCACAACACAACTGTCTTCTCTAGTACTACATAACATTCAAGACACAGCAGCACATGAAAAAAGAAAACCCTCAACTTTATTAAGCTGCAGTAACTCAGTTATTACCCGTCAGTGTACAGTGCTAACAAAGCCACACTCACTTGCACGTTGCCTTTCATGAACATTTAGGATAATGCCTGATGTGCAAGTTCTGATGATTTGTGAAAAGATAATTTAAGAGGTTACCATTCTTCAAATATCTCCATTTACAGTCCCATAATATGCCAGTGGCATGCCAGGTCACGATCTGTGGTAGTTAAGACACGGCCTTATTGCCTGTTCTGATACCACTACTGTTAAAATGGTAAGACTGGCTGTGGAAAAAAAAAACAGGCTATAAAAAAAGTATCTCATTTCTGTAATTTCCAACAACGGAAAAGGCTTACCTTTTTCTCTAAGCTCTCCTAAAATATCTTGAACATTGGGATTCTGTTCTTCAAGATCAAGGTTAAGGGAGCCAGTATCTGGAAAGGATTTTAAAATATCAGCTACCATTAAGACCCAGGGGTCTGAATCCAAGGTAGCGAGCTGGATAATTTCAGTCAGTGCCCCTTTCATCTAACAAAAAAAGAAAAAGAAAATCAGCCAATTGGAAACAGTTTTAAACAGGTTGTAGCTGGAAACTTTTTAAGACACCAAACATGCACAATATTTTACTACTGGGGAAGGGAAAAGGGAGACTGCTTCCACACGGTTATATATTAACTCTAGAACTAAGTAAAGAATGGCCTAAGATAATGTTTTTATACTGCTTTAGGTCAATCTAAATGAAGTTTGTTTAGAGTTTTTGGCAACTCAGGCTTATTTTAGCACTGAACGTTTCCCCCTCCTCCCCCCAAAAAACAAAACCAAACAACACACAGGCCAGATTCTTGCAGGAGCGTCTCCCTATGTTCTACACCCTGCTTACACTTCCAGTGCACCCCAACTTTCTATTCAGTGACTAGGATATTCAAATAGAATACAAGCTCATTTAAATTCCCATTCTAAATAAAACATGTCCCTTACTGGGCTACAGAATAAAACAGCAGACAGACCACATTTACATCATGCAAACATCATAACATTTTAATTAGACTGAAATATACTGTTTCATGTTTTGCCAAATGATATCATTTGGCAAAAATCTACTCATTACGTAAGTACACCCGCCCCTCTAATATGCCACAAGTAACTAGATTTTCCCATCTGTTCAAAGCTTCTATAGTGAGAAAAAAAATCATTTAAGTATTTACATATTATTTACCCCATTTTAAGATGAGATTAACAAAGTGACATTTGTCACAGTAATTTTCTGAATTACTGATCAACATGCCTGCTGTTAGCATTAAAAAGGAAACTGCAGCTACAGTCAACTGATTTTACACAGTGAATTATGATTTCTTAAATTACTTATTTTACTTCATTCATAGGTAGCCAAACCCTGAATTAAAACTGAACACTTGCTTCCCCTCCCCCCCTTTTTTTTTTTTAAGGAAACTCTTATGTAAGCATTAAAAGCATTAGTTTCACAGAACTAAGATGTTCAAGTAGTAATGCGTACGGATCAAGCCACAAAACATAGCAAAATACAATTTTGTGGCAAGCATTTAGACATATTCCATTTACTCAGTATTAGCGTTAAAGACTTCATGAGCAAGCATAAGAAAAATACTTGAATTCTGCCTTCTCACATCCCATTGGGCTTTCGTATTGTGTTACATACAGCATAATTTACAATGTCTAGAAGTTTCCAAACACAGTGAGACAAACAAAAGGTTGATCTTATGCTGTACTTCTTTCCCTTTATTAAGAACTGGCTTTTTCTTAGACAAACATAATTTAATAAGCTTACTCTATTCATGCAATTCTTTAAGAGAGAAAAGTTAAACTTCTGCTGTCTCTCCCCCAAGCACTTTTAGACCTCACTATTCTAAGTCAGACAAACATTAACATTTCTCAATTCCATTCACCCACACAAAGATGTTAATGTCCTGTCGCTTTAGTCAGGTATAGAACTGTGCTAGAGTAGCAGTTTGTCATTTACCTATTGCTTCTTTTAGTGCTCACGTTCACGCTCTCACAAAACAAACCAGACGAATTCATCTCATTGAAAACTAGGATCGCCCAATAGCTTTCAGCCTGATCAGACCCTTGCCGCAGGTCTGAAGGCAGAGTGGAGGCAGAAAGAAGAAACACAAGAGTCAACTGACATTTTCAGTGGCACTACTGATTTATTTTGGATTAAAGTGACTACATAACTACGACCACACACAGTTTTAACTTGTCATCAAATTTAACCTATATTTATGCAACAGAGAATCAATTTCTAAGAGTTTTAATCTTTGTTGTCCTCCATCACTTTTTTTTTTCCCCTCAGAAAATGTCAGAGAACTCAGATTCCAAACAGAGCAGAGATACAGACAAATCTACGCCTAAACCGCCCACCACATGTTGCTTCTACTACAGTGCAAAAGGGTAATGTGAATACTCTCCAGAGTTCTACATTCTCCTATCTGTTCTACAGGAATTACAGAATGGATTTACACAAAATACCTGAAAATTTAAATAACACCTAACAAAATTTGATGAAGCTGCATTTTATTTATAGCTCTTACACTAGCTTTTATCTGGACACTACCAGTCCAGACAAAAGC